ATCACCATCATCACCATCATCACCATCATCACCCTCATCACCCTCATCACCCTCATCATCACCATCATCACATCATCACATCATCATCATCATCATCACATCATCATCATTAGTATTTTTTATTTCTTTAAGTTTTTTTAACACAAGTGAATCCTATAAATAACAGAAAAAGAATATTTTTTGTTAAGATTCTTTTTATCTCTGCAAGAAGCACAAATCGACAAACGAGCGTGCGTATGTGCGCGGCGTATGTGCGCGGGTGTTATGTGCGTGGGTAGTGCGCTTGTGTAGTGCGCGTTATATTCTCCTGTAGGTGAATATAGCAGCATAAGATGGAAATTGTGACCAATAATCGCGCTGAATTTATCATATTCACTTGTGTAAAAATACTAATATTAATTATTGAAGTACACTGATGAAGTTTCTGTGACCGGATTTGGCGGGAATGTCAAAACGCGCACGCTACCCCTTCTCCCTTGTCATCCATTATTTGACTCTCATGCACTCCCTCCCCAGTTAAGTATTCATCTTATTCTACCGCTCTATAGGAATGACTGCCTGCCCTAGCCGGACGATTTCTGTCCCTCCAGATGACCTAGAGGTCACATCAGAAGGCTACGCTGACGGTGACGAGTACGCACTTGGCAGCAATTGTACCCTCACTATCACAACTGATCCTGGAAAAGTGTTCAAGGTTACTTTAAACGACCTGGAAATACAACCAGACCCAGACGGTAAGGTCTTTCTTAAAATCGTAAAGTGCCTATCACCCTTCTAACAATATTATCAGTATTGATTCTACATGGGGTAAGATGTGGAATAACCGGAAAAAATTATATAGTTTGTGTGGGCCTTGTTGAAGTTCAGGCGGTCGGCTGGATGAAGTCATAAAGGTTTTTCCATGTCATATGCTAATGACTGTGACGTATGAGGAGGCATTTATGGTTATTTATTGTTCCTTGTAATTCGAAACACCGGCTACTATGTGAAAACTAACGTGCAATAATTTGTATAGCAATGGTTAAAGTATTTCAAATTCAATGTATCTGTGCCGGAAATCTTTTTGTACATTAAATGATTACTCCTCATACGTCTTAGTCATGGCGATATGTAGTGCATTTCCCTTACCCCTGGCAAAAAAAAAAAAAGATTTTCCGGTTTCCCTCTGTCCACCTTACTTTAGTCTCCCCCACAGCCGCTGTCAGTGTCGTCACGCAACGCTTTAGGGGAGAAAGCGTTGCGTGACGGCACTGAAAGTGGCTGTGGGGGAGACTGCCTTACTTAGAACGCTCTAAATTCCAATTCAATGCTGGAGATAGTCTTGCCTTGAATTTGACAAGCCAAGAGGTTGTTTTAGGGTATGAAAAATTTAGCTTACAATTATATGCATTTTTTCAGCCTTATACGAGAAATTTCCCGTAAAACTGTTTAAATGTAAAGACAACATGGTCGTCATTGACTTTGGAAGCGAAAAATTCGAACGATGTGGAAGACTTTACCAAGACGAACCTGAGACATTTGTGTCAACCGGAAATACAATGTCCATCCATTTCCTGACACAGAAAGAGAAAAGCTTTAATAGAAGGCATATTAGAGGATTTTCTTTGTCGTACGAGACTCAGGTAGCACAAGGTAAGGCCTGGAATTATAATAATATATTTACATTTATACATGAATAACTATATTGCTCTGGACTGACAAGCCTCGTGTTCACGTGGTTTTACATGCGAGAGAGGCTTGTCAGTCTAGAGCAATAGCTATTCAAATTGGTCGCCATATTTTGATTCGGTGTATATGGTGTATAACTACCTTAAGACCCCACTTATAGAGTAGTTTTCGTATGACTTTGAAATTCTCACGGCACGAACACGGTCGTGACAAGGCAAGGGATACGTCAGCTCAATCACAGTGCTCGAGAATTTACTCTCCGTCCAATTAAATATCCGAAACACGGCATGAACACGGCTTGGACACGGTCATGCCATTGTCAAGGAACTGCCAGACCAATCACATAGCACAAGAAAAAATCCCCCAACCAAAATTCTAGAAAACATCACGGTTGCGGCAAGACACCTACTTTTTCACAGTCATGCATAATCATACGAAAACTGCTCTAAACGTCCCCCCCCGCTCCCCATCCCGTGGGTAACCTCTTACTTCTAATATTTATTTTCCAGTGGATGGAGAGTCTATTTGCCCAGGTCGACATATCAAAAAGAAGAGGAGTGGGACGTTGTTTTCTCCTGGTTTTTCAAGTAACTATGGTAACGACCAAGACTGCCAAGTTGTGATTCCTATCCCAGACAATTTTCAGATGAACGTTTGGTTCAGCGATTTTTCTCTTCAAAGTAAGTTAAAAAACAGTATTTTATCGTCACTGCATACTCATTACCGAACCACGGGAATTAAAATATGAAAGGTGACCGCGACTGCTGCTAATCTTACAAGCTATATTAATGAATGGTTCTATGATTTTACTTTTTAGACTCTCCAACATGTCAGAATGACTGGTTAACCATTAAAGACGAACATGGTGGACAAAGAATGTGTGCTGGTGGTGTAAACAGGTTGCCACCCTTTAAAGAACTAAAAGCCTCGTTAGCGAAATTTCACTTCAGGTCAGACAGTTCTGTCGATAGGAAAGGCTTCCGCCTGCATTACAATATGACGCGTCTTCGAGACGGTAAGGGATACTTCGTATTTTATATACATGATGTGGTCGTGAAAATTATGTTCTGGCTGAACGAGGAAACATGTTTACCGCGCGCATATTTCCTGATGTTCCCAAGTTTAGCCACATGCGAAACATTGCTGAGAGTGACAAATTTTGCTTTGAAGACGCAAAAATTGTTTCTGCTGTGCGGAAGAAACATTTCATACTTCCAAGGCGCATGAAAATAAATTTTACTCGTTTAGCCACTAAAGTCAACATTCTAAAAGTTCGCTACTTGCACTATCTTGAAAATACGCAAGCAATAACTGACGTTCAGTAAACATATTTCCCGATGTTTCCTGACAGTATTGCCAACTCTCAATTTACTTGTTAGTTTTTACGAAAGAAGGAAAACCGAAGTCCCTGAAAAAAAATCATGTTGTCAAGGAAGAGAGCAACACATCAAACAAACTATTCACATGTCTCTCACAGTCTCATCACCTCCATTATTCTATTCTTCTCTTTTCTCCCGCACCAACATTCGTTCATTATATTCTGCTCTTGTTTTAGGACACTGCATGTGCACGCTGGGGAAAAGTTTCATCTGCATGATGAACTTCAATAAAAAGGTTCGAAGGCTTTGGCATCGTATCAAGTTCTCTATAAAGACGACTCAGCTCAACGGTCTTATCATGTTTTCCAAGGGAACTCTTAGAGATTATATGTACCTTGGTATCAGAGATGGAACAATTTTCTACAGGAGCGATTTAGGAACAGGTACGCCCTAGTTTCCAAATGATTGAATTTTCAAGAACCAATGGGGAACTTCAATGGTGGATCAAAAAGGGTCGTAGGCCATGGCCCACTCTTTTTGAATCCGAGAAAATTATTACTCTTAATTAAACATGCAGGTTTGGATTTAGGAGTAGTGTGGTCCCGATATTCAAAGCCCAAGATCTGCCTCTGAATCCAGGAAATTTCGAGAGGGATAGATGAGGCAGTTATGACAAAATAGATAGCGTCCGATAATTTCCAAACAACTTAGGGTAGAACAAAGTAAAGTTCTTTAGAAAATTCCTCACAAAAAGCTGAGGCTTGGGAAACTTCAGCCTCAGTCTTAGTTTGTCACCTTTTTAAAACTGTTTTAAATGCACTGGAATGTGATTTAACGCGAGTGAATGCTCAATTCACTCGACGCAAGAGGGAATAGAGATTATATATGAACTTAGGCTTGTTATTTTTTTGCGGAGGAAGGAAAATAAGAGGGCTCGGACAGGAGAGCGTCCAACAGGAGCTCCCTTACTGCATGAACCTGTGAACAGGGATATTCCCATTCCTGGTAGAATTATTTTTATAAAGGAAAGTTTGAGTCCAAAACTTCTAAGTGGAAGAATTCTTTAACATGAATGAATCTGAATATCGTTCTTTCTAAAACTTAGGGTCAAGTTTAGTAGTGGCCAATGACGCAAAAGTCAATGATGACGTGTGGCACAAAGTGGAGATCAGGAGAAGAAAACGTAGTTTAAGCATTACCGTGGATGACGGGAGAGCGGAAGGTGAGATCTATTACAGCCTAAGTATAGACTTGAGACAAGTTGCACTCGCTAACTCACTCGACAAAGACGAGCAGGAGTTGGGTACTCATTTTTCGCCCGCGACTGAAAGACGTCTTTTTGGGAAGGTAGTTGTCACAGTAGAGTTCATACCATATATCCGAGAAAAAACTAACGGAATTGTACAAATTAAGTGAAAAGCTTTGTAGGTCTACCGTCTAGTGAGATATACTGAACTTACTAATACTCCATTTTACAGTTCCAGTGACCACGAATAATAGTTGCAAGTCTAGGCTGCAGTTTCCGCGCATATCAAAACTATACTTTTTATCATGCGCGGAAACTCCAGCCTCGGCTTGGAACTATTATTCGTGGTCACTGGAACTGTAGAATGGATTATAACAAAGATTAAAATGACGAAAACTTCTGGTTTTTCTATTTCTATTGAAATGCCATTAACGTACAGGAATTCAAACTGCTCACCATATTGATTTGGAGACCCGACTCATTTTCTCCACCAACTCATCTGGGAATCGCACCCAGTCCTTTTGGCTCGTAAGCCAAACGTGCTCTGTTACACTACTGAGTTTGGGGTGGGTTTTAGAGACAGGAAGGCCAAAACACAATGCCAATCGAAACAATATAATTTGTTCTTTAAGCATTTGCAACATTTCAAAAACTCTGGCACACATCGAAAAAAATCAATGAATAACTAGGTATCAAGGCATACATCTTTTTAAACCATTAGCGTCTCTTATAGCATCTTGGAGGCATCTAAAATCATCTTTGAACGCCACTTGGAATGAATGTCGAGTCTGGTAGAAACATCTCCAAAAGTAGGCATCGTAGGTATCGGAATCGTTAGAAGACTTTGAAAAACCAAAAAGCTCGAGGCGTTTGTTGGAAAACCAAAACGACTTGAAACGTTTGCTGAAAAACCAAAAAACTCGAGGCGTTTGTTGAAAGACCAAAAAGCTCGAGGCGTTTGTTGAAAAACCAAGGAAAACTCGAGGCGTTTGTTGAAAAACCAAAGATAAAACTCGAGGCGTTTGTTG